TATGAGGAGAGGGCCGATGATGACCAGCGGCCCGGCTGCTGGAGGGCGGAATGGGGGAGCCCCAGTGACGCGGCGCGCGTGGCGGCGCCTATCCGGAAGAAGTGGGCTGTGTAGAGATGGGGAGACAGTTTACAAAGCAGCAGTACGGACTTGAGTTGGGCTCTGAACCAGTTGGGGGACATAGGGAGGCTATCAGGGGTAAGAAATAACGGTCCGTTGAGATCTCCTTTCCGAGAGCGGAGGCGAGTGTAATGCATCATGGATCGTGACGCAGAGGGCGGAATGAGTGGAATGCAGTGGGCGTGACAGAAGCTGGAGTAGACTTTCCACGCGAAACTGTATGATTTCAGTGTGGAAGGTGAGAGACCCATCTTCATGTAGGATGCAGCGGAGGAGATGAGGAGGTGAAGAGACGGAGGGACTAGTCCAGGGCGAGGGATTCCGTGCAGGGGATCTGGCATGGTGATGGGTTGGCAGAAGGGCAGAGGCGTCGGAACTCCTGGAAGTCGAGATTATCACGCATGACGGAGATCCTCTTTCTCTGCCACGTGTGATTCCGCCGCGCGCAGGCCACGACCACTGGGAATATCTCGTGTAGGGCAGAGGAGATGCTCCGGTGGAAAGTAGCGGCCACGGCCCGGCAACCCCATGGTCCTGGAAAAAAACCCCAAAACCCACGGAAGGGGCACGTCCGTGAAGAAGCGGAGACCTGTAGGGGCAGAGACATATCGGAGAGGGCCATTGAAGTTGCAGGCGCCCTTACGCTTAGAATCTTGGGTTGGAGAGTAGAAAATCAGGATAGTAGGATGGTCGGGAAAAGCCGTGTCTCGGACCGCCTGAAGGTTGAGTGAGCAGTAGTGAAACGCTTATGCAGAGAAGCCATAGAAGGCGAGCAGGAAGATGCTGCGAGGAGGGCAGACGTGTACTTGGAAGAAGAGCCGGAGTTCAGTGCCGCTCAGAGCCGCTGCAGGATGGGCAGCATGATGGGGAGCCTGCGATCAGAAGAGTGAAGAATACAGGTGTGGATGCCTTTGATTAGGAGTCCGATTGACGGCTCAGCGCAGCCACTCGGCCAGCTGCATCTGATAGAATCAGAAGATTAAGTAGAGAGATGAAGCATGACCGCCGAAGCGACCCTGGGAGCATAGGTGCGAGTCCAGCGCAGCGCGGCATACTCGGCCGGGCTGCATCCATTAGAAGCAGGATAAGCTTCTGAGAGAGTGGGTTGCATCAGTAGCAGTAGCAGTAGCAGCAGCGGCAGCAGCAGTAACCTCGGATAATAACGCAACAGTCCTGTATCAAGCCGCGGCAGCAGCAGCATCCGTAGATAACAACGGCAAAAATCCTGTATCGAAGCCACAGCAGTAGGATATGTTGTAGCTGTTTAGTGTTTCAGTAAGAGAAGCGAAGTGAGGAGAGGTGTCAAAGTAAAAGAAGCAGCAGCAGCACGGCAGCAGTAGCAGTATGAAGCAGCAGCGGCAGCAGTAGCAGCAGTAGCGGTAGCAGTAACGAGAAGCAGCATTAGCGGGAGCAGCAGCACCACGATGCGATTCATACGAACAAACAGACGTGTCACGCCAGCGTGCGCCGCTTGACTCCGTGAGCCAGGTTACGTACGCGTCTGAAGGAGCCGAGCCGTAGAAACAGGTGCAGCCTGGGAGCCTGCGGAGCGGCAGCGGCAGGAACAGAAGCAGCGGCACGTGTAGTAGTAGGAGCAGGCAGCAGGGATAGACAGCAGCAGGAGCGGCAGCAGGAGCGGCAGCAGGAGCGGCAGCAGGAGCGGCAGCAGGAACAGCGGCGGCGGAATCAGGCATCAGTAGGAACGGCAGCGGGGACCGGCAGCAGCGGCGGTCAGAGAACCATGCCCATGGTCGTTTAACAGCCTGAGGAAATAAATCGACCCGAATTCGAAACATTCCCATGCGAATAACAGACGTCCCCTGGAGCCATCTTGCTGCTTTGGTTATGGCAGATACGCATGAAAGATCACTGATCCATGCGTTCATAGCTCCAACACCACTTCACACCCATTGCAGATTCACATTGGGCCCTTTTTCATTCTGCTGCACTTTCAAAATGCAACAGCTGCAGTTAGTTACCTAATTTAATACCAGCGACCTAGCTATTTAAATGCATGGTTTTACTGCAAGTGGCAGAACATGAATCTGAATTAATGCACATTGCTCCTCTTATATCCCTCAAACGATAGAGATTGATGCCATTTAATATGCATTGCCCCTCGGTTAGCTCAAACACGTGTGAAAACGGAGCCTGCAGACCAAGCACGGGGCGAAAAAACTGACGCCTGCAGTCAAGTGCGCGGGGCAAAAACCAATCGCCTGCAGCCCAAAACTCCGGGATTAATCCGTCCGCGGTCGGCACACTCACTGTACTCACATGCCAGGAGACTTGGGAAAAGCAACGGGACAACGCGGCACCGCCAATCGAGGCAGGGACACGCACGGCACCGCCAGACCTTCTGCGCGCGGCAGCAGACCACGAGGAACGAGCCGCACAGAACCCGCGGAGGGCCCCGCGGAGCAGCCCGCAGAAAGAGCCCGCAGAGGAGGAGAGCAGGAGATATGCGAACCACAGCAGGTGCAGGGACGCGGAGGAGGAGCAGACCAGTGCAGGAACGCGGAGGAGGAGCAGACCAGTGCAGGGACGCGGAGGAGGAGCAGACCACAAGCAGCCAGACGGAGGACGCCAGGGTCGCGCCGAGTAGCGTGAGTAGACAAAAACGATTCCTCCAGACGATTCTCTGCAAGGCTTCGAGGGCTTGCGAGGCTTCGAGAAGGCCGAGAGTGGGAGTTTCTCCGCTTTTAAGCGGCTTGCCTGCTGGTACGGTGATTGGAAGGGGGCGTTTGCAGTGCGATAGGCTGGGGATGAGAACCGGCCTGGAGGGGTTACCTTTGGCTGACGTCTACCAAATTGAATTTCCGCTGGCTGCATTTCAAGTGGACACCATCATGAAAGAATCAGGAGAAGGCCTGACTAATGACTACTAAAATAAATCAAATGTGTAAATGAATAACATCATTGCTGCTCATACTTTATATCAGGGCCAATACAATTTTGCTGAAAACTATACTCTGTAGAGTATAAAATACTCTCTGACAAAGCATGTGGAATCCTTGCAGACTGCCCTCATCCTGGCGTGTCATAAATCTGCCAGTGATCTGCTGGAGACAGGAGAATGCTTGGAGGTCAGCACTCCAGTCGGCATGTCTTCTTTCCCCACGGCTCCTCAACACGTCGCAGCCATCAAACGCTATTGATCCCCGTAATCAAGAAGAATGCTCCGCATGATCGTCTCACAAATCTCACACCTAAATGTGGCAGGAGAGCAAACGCTGACCGACCCATCGGCAATCAATCAAGGTGTGCTAAAGTGCCGCACAATCGGCTTCATTAACCAGAACTTGTGAATGGTTATTTTTAGATTTGTGTAACTCTACGTGATTTGGAGAGAGAATTGGAAATTGGAAAACACAGCCGCATTTAAATTCTGCATTTAATCCCAAACTTGTTTATGCTTTTAGGGGGAAATGTTTGTGACCTCAAAGGTTGTTATATATTCAATATTTGGAAGAGGTGTTTATTTGAAATAAATTGACAGTGTGTGCAGCACATACAGAAAGGGGACAACAATTTGAATATTGGCATTACACTCGCAATGCAAGGTCATTAAACACGGGATCTGTCTCATTCGGAGAGTGCATACACCACCAACACCACCGACCGTCAACAACTGTAAATTCCTCCTGTGTGAGATAAATAAAGTATATCTTATCTTATTCCGTTCATCCCATTGACACACATTATTTTAGATCATACCAGAGGTTCTTGCACAATTCAGTCAACAATCACACAGAGACAATGTTGGTTAGTCAAGGAAAAAGTGAAATAACCCCAGGTACAGATTCACAAAATGGATATTTTTTTTATGGCATGCTGAGAATTCATGTAATCCATTAATTGATGCAAGAGCTATTACGGTGCCCTGAACTTGCTCAAATGCTAATTACTGACAGTGGGATGAGAACCATTTTCCGCAACACAAGACAAGATTGACAATTAATTCTAATAACAATTTTGGATTGATGATTTCTGCTTTTTGATAAACAGCTTGGCTTTCACCAAAACTTGCATAAGCCAAATATTCAGTAATATTTCTTACACTCTTAATCACTTCAATGTCCAACCTCTTAACTTCAGACTGTGATGTACGACATGCCCCAGACAAGTCTCTACAGCGTTTGAACAGAAACACAAATCAAGCCTCTCACTCACAGGCCAGAAAACAACATATTTTTAAAAGAGCATGTGTGACATGGCACCTAGGCCATGTTTTAGAGAAATGTGTAACCAGTGTTGGTAATAACAGTATGATAACGTTACTAACATTGTTATTTTGGTCATCAACAACTAATTTGCAGTTTCCTCGTTTATCACACAGTTTACGTTCTCTTCTGTTAAGTTACGTTTTCTTCTGCCTTTAAACAAAGGTCACTGTCAAGTTGTACTAGCGGTTACAACACACACAAAACAATCTGCAAAACAGCAAGGCCACAAAAGCTGAAACATGTTTGTGTGTGTGCGTGTGCAAAGAAGTAACAGTTCTTCTTTTACCGCATAAAGTTTTGCTATGGTGATTTCCAGTCTGAATGTGTTTTAGTTCATACACGTTCATACTATTGCTTTCACAATAATGCAAGGGGTCGCGATGCGTGACGGACGCATCAGTCACTCACAAAAACGTGACGGTTGCGTGCGCCAACTCCAATGCTTTTATTATTATTATTATTATTATTTTAACTTTGACTGGTTAATTAATTACTTTTGCCTATTTAACTTCATACATTGCCTCTATAATTTTGTTTTTAGATAACATCAAAAATAATATTCAGTAGAACAAATGTTGAACAAACAGCACAAAACTCCCCCAGCCACAAACTGTGCGGTTGAAGTAAAAATGCAGCTCAAAAACACAGCGTTACCTTTTCTTTGTCTCTCATGGATCCTTTGCCGAGAATTGACATCTTGGTGAGGGTGTCCTCCTGTAGTCTTTTTAACGAGTTCCCGCGTGGCCCCAGGAGTTTGCCCACAAAGTTAAACTGCAGAAGAGAGAAACACTGTCAGATCAATCCAAATCTGTGGATGCAGAGATGGAAAAGCAAATGCCTCATGTCAATCACGTACCGCTCCGCCGGGCTTTATGGCGGCTGAGATGAACAGTATGGGACCTTCTTTGACACGGTTTCAACAGCTTTTACAATGTCTACGTCTTGAATAAAAAAGTATTAGGCCCTTTGCATCTGCTTTTGTTATGCTGACGCAACAAACAAAATCTAATTTACAGCTCTGAACTTGAGTCAGCAGAAGCCAGGTGTGCTATAAAAATGTCCATATTTAATATTTTTGATGCATAGGAGATTGAATTAAATCAGGCCATAAATGCAGTATCCACAAAGTCAGTACTTACGCCGTAGTCTGTAATTTGGCTAGACTCTAAGACAATAAGGGAAGCGCTGTTAATCACATTCCCATCAAATCAACAACCAGCTTTAGATGTATGTCTTCAGTCTAGTAAAAGTGGTAGAAGGATAAAAAGTTTTAGGGAGCAATATATTTTGTAAAATATCTACATACAGTATATTATATTACTCGCCAGATAGAACCATGGCCAACAAGTTTGCATCAGTTTTGCTTGATTTAAAGTACAATGGACATCAGATTTACAGTTTTTGAAGCAGATTGTCCAATCACAGAGCAGAATGAGGCTCTGTAAAGGATTTGGCAGTTTATTACGTAGAATAAAGATGGTTTTAGCTCTTCTCTTTTTTTACATAACATACATCACAAACCGAAAAATAGTGTGACACACAATAATAAGTAGTCATACATAATACAATGTTTGTACCATTTTTAGAAGGCACATTTAGGAAGATTCTTATGACTAAGAACACTAAGAGCGTATATACAGGACTCCCTTGAAAAAGAGGTACTTAATCTCAATGGGACTTTCCTGGTTAAATAAAGGTTAAACAAAATAAAAACCTATCAGATACAGTCCCTATGAAAGTGACAACAACTGTAATACTTTTGAACTGTGTACTTCCAAGATTTGTCATTTTATAAATCCAATATATTTTCCCTCCAATACCGCATAATACTTGTGTCCTATCAAAAGAATGCTGCAAACAAACTTGAGTAATATTCAACTTCCTTGCATTAGTACCGGAATTATCATTCAATGAATCATTAATGCCTCTCCCAGCATTTTGGGTCATGTCCCAGAGCCTGCAGCATCTCTGTGCTTTGCTGAAATCTCAAGTTCGCTCAGTGATATTAGTTCAAAGCACACAGCGTTTCTGAATGTTTGAACATTAATAATCATGATGATCTTGTTTGAGCGAGTGCTGAACCCCCAGCACCTTTGGCGTAAAACCGTCCATCAAAGGCTTCCGGGCTCAGATGACTTTGCAAGGTCACAGCTTTTTGCCATAAAACCTACACACTAAGCACTAGTGTCCAAGGATGTGGGTGTCGGCACAAAGTCATAGGCCGACCCTATATATCAACCATAGTCGCTCTGATGTGAGCAGAGATGTACACTAAAAAGGTAACATATGCAGACTGAAGGGGGCACATATAGTTCGTTACCATTTTTGTTACCATGAAAAAAAAATGATTATTTTTTTTACCATAAATTGACCAATACATTTCTTGGTTCTATTAGAATTGGAACAGTCCTCCTAACCATTCTGTGCACATTATTAACCAATTAGATCAACAAAAAGTTACCAACCAGTTAATAAATGTATCGTATTTTGAACCTTACATAGACTTAAACATGCTCAGAATAGGTTTTATGACCATGATAATATAATAAATCTATAATGTCACCTAAATCAAATGTGTCTATTAATCAAACAAATTGAAGTCTAACAGGTCATCTGTATGAAGAAGGTCTCCAGGCGCATCCCTAGTGCTCTGTTAAGGTCAAAGTTTTTGGGATTTTCATAACTATCAATTTGTCAATATAAAAATTACCCAACTTATCAGATATAATAATAAATAATACTTTAACAGCACTGAAGACTATCTTTATATTTAATTTAGAGCCTTACATCCAATCCTAAAAGATAGATACAAACAAATAAAAGTAATGATAACAAAACATAGTTTGTGCACAGGGAACAAATTTTAATCAGGAGAAACACAGACACAAATTAGCATTAATGATTTATTCATTTGTTTGTTTGTTTATTTTCCCTAAGCCCCGGCAGCGGCACTTTGTTTGTGACGATCATTCGTTGTGTGCCGCATATACAGTAATCCCTGGGGCTGTACTGGGGTTAGCATAAGGGTGAAAGGGGCCAGCTTTGATGGGCTGCAGCAGGTAGCCTACCAGACACCATTTCCTTCCTTTAGGACTTGCTTGTCCTGTTACCTGTTTATTATACTACTATCCTGGCTATCAATTAGCTGTCCGGTGGCAGAAAAATCAAACGGTTTTGTTCTGCGCCTCACCTATGTCTTTCGCTCTTTTTGTATGAAAATGTGTGCTTATTAGAGAAGCATGCAGCAATTCCTGTGTGAGGGATTTGAGCCAGGAGCTTTAGTGATTCGCTCTAATGCAGTAACTGACTGTTGTTTTTTATCCAAGCTCGGGCCAATTCCAGCCTCTCTCTCTCTCTCTACTCTGCTTTGGGTGGTATAATTACACCCAGCGCTTATATTGGATCATGCAGCGCAATATTCAACCCAAGCCTCTAAGTAAATACCATGTCCCACTGTGTCAAATCTCGCCTGTTCCTGCAAATGGGAGTAAGTGGCCTCCTGGAATGTAACGACCTTGCATAGATCTACAAGAAAACTCACTTTTGACCGTAGTGTACGCAGTATCTTCACCAATGCCACAACTGATGCATATTATTATAAATGGTTACTGTGTGACTCCGTATAGAGCGGTAAAGAATTTTGAATATTGCAAAAGGGTTGCCAATAGTGCCGCGCATTTAAGTACAGTAAGCACTCAATTCTTGCAAACGTATCATGAAACAGAAGTAATGTTGCATGTATAAAAGCATCAACTCGTGAAAAAGTTCAAATAGCAGGGAGCACTCGTTGTTCCACTGCTGCTGAGTCAACAAAGAGCACATTTAAATTTTAAACTGGCCCAAAACCAGAACAAGAAGCAAATATGCAGCGTGATCATGTATTTTTAAGTTTAACCTTACATGTTTGAGCTGCATAACATCCAAGTTGAGTGTCAGGTCTATACTGTGACACAGTGTAGTTTTATATCACTGTCGAAACAAATCTATGAATGTATGTGTATGTGTGGTTTGTGTAAAATGACAACAGCCCTCATGTTGAAGGACTAGACAAAAGTGTTGATTTACCAAAAGCAGATTAGAAAAAACATTTTAAAAAGTCAGTGGTCAAAGTGGATGAACAGATTAACCATGCAATTTAAAACATGATAGGTAATCAGAGAAAATTGACATTTATTAGGTAAAATGTACAGCCAATGTTAATTCATTACCATGGAGACTAAAGGGAGACAAAAAGGTTAGCATATATGTGCTGATTCCAAATATTGGCCCACACATCCATCATCTCCACCTGGGTGAAACCTTGATCCGCCAGATCAGCCACTGCGTGCCTCGCTTGAAAAATGATTTGCTGTGCAGTGTAGTTGCTTAAAGTCTGGTGTTAAACAAACAAAAAGAAAAGGGTCAAAAAAGTGGACAAAACACATTACATAAAATGCATTTCAATCATGTATAACAATGTATACATACAAATAATTATGAATGAATGATTCATAAATTTTAATAGCCACATCAAATCAGTAACATCAGCAGCTTTTTACCATCTAAAAAACATTGCCAGGATCAAAAACATAGTGTCTAAAGCAGACTTGGAGATTCTTATCCATGCATTTGTCTCCAGTAGATTAGACTACTGCAACGGCCTGCTCACAGGTCTGTCCAAACAGGCTGTAAAACAGCTGCAGTACATTCAAAATGCAGCAGCTCGAGTCCTTACTAGAACCAGGAAGTACGACCACATTAGTCCAGTTCTCAGGTCTCTGCACTGGCTTCCTGTGGCTCAGAGAATAGACTTTAAAACAGCTCTGCTTGTGTACAAGTCTCTCCATGGCCTAGCACCAAAATATATTAGTGACATGTTAGTACCATACAAACCAGCCCGGACTCTGAGGAGCACAGGGACTGGACTCCTGTTAGTGCCCAGAGTCAGGACTAAACATGGGGAGGCTGCTTTTCAGATTCATGCTGCTAAAATCTGGAACAGTCTTCCTGAAGATGTGAGACAGGCCTCCTCTCTGACAATGTTTAAAACCAGGTTAAAGACAGTTCTGTTTAGCTGTGCATACAACTGAGGGATTTTATATTTTTATCTTTCCTTTTTAATGTTCTGTGATTATTTATGATTTTAATGCTTTCTTATTTTGTTCAGCACTTTGAGTTGCCTTGTGTATGAATTGTGCTATATAAATAAACTTGCCTTGCCTTGCCTTGCCTATGATTCTTTTATTAGATCCACAGTGTGGACCTCGTGCTGCAGACCTTGTCCTTGATTATTAAGCATATGATAGACACATGATGATAATGATTGGTGAAAAACTCAAAATATGAGGACGTCAGAGGGAAGCTGACAATACATCAGAATGGGTCTGTCCTGAGCCCAGCCTTTTTCTCCCTCCTCATTGACTTTATTCCAGCGTCTAAGTAGGGCTGGGCGATATGGCAAAAAAGTAAAATCTCAATTTTACTTCCAGCTTTGGACGATATCGATTGTTAATCGATTTTCATTAAAGTCACCGAAGACATACTTTGCCCTTTAAAATATATTTTGATATTTCCGCTCAATATACAAGTTTCAAAACTATTCTTAATTTGTTTGCCCAATATGTATTATAAAAGTCTTGTACAGACGATATATCTGAGTGAAGACAATTATTTTCAATGAAAAACTGTCCATCCATGAAGTGGAACCAAAAGTGCCAAGGATGATAAATGAATTTACTATCATTTTAAGGGGTCTACACGCTTTGCATATAAGTAAATGCGTCATAAATGAT